ATTTATAATTGGAAAGGTGATTAGAGAGTATCCTTTATAATTCTTTCTTCTATTACCTCACCAAGGTAGTTATGATACTTGCTGAGTACAGGGGATCGGTTGTACTCATACTACACTTTGCACTTTATTGTCCAGATCCAGGTGCTGGACCGAGCCACCAGTAGCTGAAGCTTGTTGCTGAGTTTATCTTTCAAGAGATGAGGTAATGTTCCATCTTGACCACAATCTTGGCATCTCTTTTCATTTTGTATTGGTGTCTTTCATTGAGACAATATTGATATGTGGTATTTTAGACTTGTATTTCCGATTTAGCTCTCGTGACTCTGTGTTTACCAGTTCTGTGAGATTATTGTATTTCAATGCAGTTATTTACATTATTGGCATTAGACTCGTAGTATATTTGTTAATTTTGTAGTTATGTTTCGTTTATATTAGGTTTGGCTAACATAGCAAGTGAGTTAGGTGCCATCACAGCCGGTTGGTGGTTTTGGGTCTTGACACTTATGCAGTGTATAGATATGAGAATCAGGTCTTATAAGGAATTCCAGATGTTGGAGATTTGATTCTAAGGTTTATGGACTAAGGTTGAATAAAGAATATTTAGTTAGGTTGTGTTTACAGCCTTATATAGATCGAGGTGATGTGGGATCAGTCATGGGTATGTGTATGGTGATTTTATGTAGTGATCCAATGGCTTAGGAACGACACTTGGCAGGTTCGAGGACGAACATATATTTAAGCGGGGGAGAATGTAATGACCCGACCAGATGTTTTTAGCATCGGAATTCCGTTTGGTAGTTTGAGGTCTTGAGTAGCTTCATATGATGTATTAAGACTTGCGTACGTGATGGGTTTTGATTTTCGGGAAGTTCGGGCTCAATTTAGAAGAGTATTTCTCAATTTTAAAGCTTTAAGTTAGAAGAGCTGGCCAAGATTTGAATTTTAAGTAAGCAACCTCAGATTTGTGTTTGGATGACTCCAATAGGTTCGTATGGTGTTTTTGACTTACGCGTATGTTCAGATTTATATTTGGAGATTCCTAGGATGATTTGTCTCTTTTTGTCAAAAGCTAGCAATTTGAAGGTTTGTAAGGTTAATAGGTTTGACTAGGAGTTGACTTTGATACTATTGGGTTTAGATTTTGTTCCGGGAGTTGGAATAGGTTCGTTACGTCATTTTGGACTTGTGTGCGAATATTAGGGTTATTCCAAGTTGGTTAGATGTGGTTCAACATGAGTTTTGAAAGTTGGAAGTTTAGTTAGTTCATTAAGCTTGAATTGAGGTACTATTTGTGGTTTTGATGTTATATGGTGTGATTTGTGGCCTCGAGTAGGTCCCTGTCATGTTTTGAGACTGGTTGGTATGTATAGACGGGGTCTCAAGGGGCTCGAGTGTATTTCGGATGAGTTTCAGATCATTTTGATCTTGTTTGGCAGTTCTGTAACTGGTGTTTCGTACCTATGGAGGATTGATCGCAGGTGCGGTGTCGCTTTTGCGGGATTTAGTTCACTTATGCGAAGAAGAGGTAGTTCTAGAGATTGTCGCTTCCACGCATGAGGGGGCGCAGGTGCGAGGTCGCACCTACGGTGTTCTGTTCGCAGATGCGAGTTTGAGACCTGAGATGAGAGGACGCTTTTGCAGAGCTTGTGGCGCAAATGCGAAGATGCGTTTGCGAGGTTTTGTGCGCACCTGCAGAGCAGCATATGCGATGCTTTGTTCGCAGATGCAAGATTGGTCAGATTCAGCTGGGTTCGCAAATGCGAGCAAGGGCTCGCTGATGCAAGGTCGTTGGTGCGCCGTTATTATCCATAGATGCGAATCTATGGGAACTTATTTTATTTCAAGGGTTGGATCATATTTCATTATTTTGAGATTTGGAGCTGAAATTGAGGCAACTTGTGAGGCAATTTTCACATATTTAGATTGGGTAAGTGATCTTGTCTCATATTTGATTATTATTCATGATTCTATTTTTGATTTTGGCATTTTATTGATGAGCCTAAGAGAGAAAAATTTGGGGGTTTTGCCAAAACATTTCTAAAGTGAAAAATGGAGATTCAAACCCCAATTTGGAGTTTGTTTTGGATGAAACTTGTATATTAGGACTCGTATATAAATGGGTGTTCGGGATTAGTTAGTTTTTGTTGGGTTCTAGGGTGCGGGACAGAGTTGACTTTGTTGTTGACTTTGAGTATTTGATTAAAGTTTGGACCTTTATCCTTTAGATTCGATTCCTATTGTCACGCCCCAACCTTGGGGAGCGCGACCAGCGCTCAACCGAGATACCTCAGTCAAGAAAGCATGTACAATGCTTTCTACCCGAAATTACCGGTGAATAAAGAGAAGATTTATTTCGTTAATTATAGACAATGAGAAGATCATTTGAACAACATTAATTTCATTTCCTTTAGAAATTCCATCAAGAGTTCCCAAAATATTACATTACACATTCATAGTTTAGGAGAGGAAACATGTGATACAAATACAACACCTTTAGTTTAACTTTCCCAAAACAAGATACAAACCACACTATGTCTACTGAGCCTTTAATGTGTACAAAAGAGTAGTATGATGGTACCGGCAACAAGGCTCCAGCTATACCTCTAAAACACTTTACATAGAGGGCAAAAGATACAAGACCCTGAAACAAAGTGGGGCTCATCAAATCAGCTGAGGAGAGGGTGTACTGCTATCACTAATCAATGCCACCTACTTTGGAACCACCTGCATCTATTAAAGATGCAACGCCCCCGGAAAAGGAGACGTTAGTACATATGGAATAGTACTAGTATGAACAACTAAACACCCTCTCAATCGAATGAGTTACAGTAAAATGAGAAGGAAACATGGAATCAATGAGAACCTTAAAACAATTTTAAAGTGCCAAGTTAGGAGAAAGATAAATTTCAAGTAGGTTTCAATATTTTAAGTTCGAAGATCTTTAGTGCTGATATACCATCGTGTTTTTAGCACGGAATTCGATCACGGCCCGATCGGCTAAGCCGTCTTACCCCAAGACACTCAATCACAACACCACCATGTGCATGGCATGGCGTCCGATCTCACCCCGATCGGCTAAGCCATCTCACCACAACACCGTGTGGGTCGACATCACTTTTAGCTAGAAATCATCTCATCCCAATTAAGTGAAAATATATCAACACGTCAATCTCATCACATCAACAGGGGGATCTTACCCCTCAACCTCTCCTACCCCGGAACGTGTAGTTTTGGCGTTAGGCTTATTTCAACCTACCCTTCCCCGGTGACTAAACGATAACCCAAAACATTTATTACACAAAGAATTTACAGTTCTTACATACATCTTTTCATTTCATTGGCACTACTGGACATAAGGGTAATTTTGTTCTTGGCACGTCGGTCATATTTCATATTTCATACTCACCCCTATAACTTTGAAGCATCATCATGGATTATCAACAATAAGTGAATTTTGAATCAAGACTTTAAGTATATATAGGAGCAATAAGCGTCTTAACCACATTGAGCTTCTCTTCCACATTAGGCATACTAACTTGCAATTGAAACATGATTTTTAAATCACAACACATTTGATACATTAGTCATACTAGATTACATTCTCGGAGGGAATCATGGTATGATGGGAACATTTTGGAACATATTTTGAGTACAAACATACTTCAACACAACACTTGTTTTAGAATAATCAAATTTATTAGTAAAGACTCGGAACATGAGAAATAAGAATATGAGCCAATCATAATCGCAACTTACGAGGACATCATGGGAATTCGATTTTAAAGAGGAGTTTAGCCAACATACCTCGCTTTAGCTTTCCATAAATTACTAAAATGTTATGGAAATCCTAGCGAATTCAATTTATTAGAGACATGACAAAGTTGAACAACAATTATGAAAATACTCGAGGGATAGGGAGTAGAATCACACTCTTCCCATTACCTACTTTCAGTCCAATCCTGAAATTAAGGGCTAGGGAGTTGAATCTGACCTCTTAGATGAAGTTCTTTTGAGCTTTTCCTTGTCTAATTTCAGGGCTTGAGCAAGGCTTTGATGTATGGAGATGTTAGGTGCCCTTCCTCCTCACTCTAGCTCCCTTCCCTTCTATCTAAATACCATATTTTTGCCTTCAAAACGAGCCCCAATGGCTTTTAATCAAAATGGGGCCGAGTTATAAAATAAGAAAATAGACCTTCCGAACTCAACTTTGCGGTCGCGGAGTGCACCACTGATCAAGTCTGCGGCCTGCAAAGTGGACCCCGAAATGGTCCTCAAAAATTGGGCTGGCCTGGTCCAGTCTGCGGCTTGGTCTGTGGCTAATACGCTAGTTATGTGGCCGCAGGATGGACTGCAGAATCACCCAACAAAATTCTTCGTGCAAACTCTGCGATAGAAATGTGGCCAGCAAAACGATTATGCGGTTGCATATTTGAACGCAAAACGACCTTCAAAAATTGGCCATTTTCTGCTTATTTCAACTCACCAATGCACTGTTCAACCCAAAATGTTCGTACCGCAATAAGCTTGCTCACCGCGAAGATTTTATACAACCCTCAAATACATTAGCCTAACTCGGCACCACGAAACCCCGGGTTCTAGGTGAAATTCTATGGGATTTTACATCCTCCACCCCCCCCCCCCCCCAGGATCAATCGTCCTCGAATGAGGGTCAAAATCTGCTATTAGAATCCATTGTGATTCAACTCATATTCACACACCAGCAGTTCCAAATTTGACTAACTCCCAAAATTTCCAGAAATTTTGCAAGAGTTTCCCATGTAACTGGGCATATCCATTTGTTAGATAATCCCAGAAACCTATCCTAATAGCACATACATAATCCAACGACCCAACATAACATGAAAACACATCAACCATGGCCTCACAGGCAATATATTATCAGAAAGGAACACAGTTAACATCAACTGTACAAGTGATACATAATTCATAGAAGTTAAGTTCTTAACATTTTCATAGAGCACAACAACCTAAACACAGAGTTATTCGAGAAAATGGGGGTACTTCTTCTTCATCTCTACATCGGCCTGCCAGGTGGCCTCTTTAACCTGCTGGTTTCGCCATAACACTTTCACGGAAGCAATCTCTTTATTCCTCAGCTTTCAAACCTGCCTATCAAGAATGGCAACTAGAATCTCCTCATAAGTCAATTCTTCACTAATATCAATGGTCTCAACCGAAACAATGAGTGTTGGGTCTCCAACTACCTTCTTCAATATTGATACATGAAACACAGGGTGTACTAACGACATCTCTAATGGTAGCTCAAGCTTGTAAGCCACCTGACCAATCCTTTGAATGATTTTGCATGGTCCGACATACCTCGGACTCAATTTCCCTGTATTACCAAACCACATTATACCTTTCATGGGGGAAACCTTCAAGAATACCCAATAATCCTCTTTGAACTCCAAATCCCTACGACAAACATCATAATAGGACTTCTGACAACTCTGAGAAGTTTTCATCCATTCCTTAATAATCTTAACCTTCTCCATAGCCTGATACACGAGGTCTGACCCTATCAACTCTGCTGCCCCAATCTTGAACCACCCAATGGGAGATCTACATCTCCTACCATAAAGAGCCTTGAACGGTGCCATCTCAATGCTAGCATGGTAATTGTTGTTGTAGGCAAATTCTATGAGTGGCAAATGATCGTCCCAGCTACCCTTGAAGTCAAGAACGCAAGCACGCAATATATTCTCAAGTGTCTGAATAGTCCGCTCTTCCTGCCCGTCAGTTGGTGGATAAGAGGTTGTGCTAAGATTCACCTGAGTACCCAAACCTTGCTGAAATTTCTTCCAAATATTAGTTGTGAACTGTGCCCCTCGATCTATGATAATAGAAACCGGAGTGCCATGCAGCCTAACTATTTACTTGATATATAACTGAGCATACTGTTCCGCTATGTCAGTAGCCTTAACAGGTAAGAAGTGTGTTGATTTCGTGAATCGATCCACAATCACCTAGATCGAGACAAATTTGTGAGGTGTGCCGGGTATTCCTACCACCAAATCCATATTGAACATCTCCCACCTCCATATTGGAAACTCGATGCTTTGCGCCAACCCACTGGGCCTTTGGTGTTCGGCCTTCACTTACTGACAATTTGGACATTTTGCCAAAAAGTCTACTACATTACTCTTCATATCATTCCACCAGTAGACTTCCTTAAGATCATGATACATCTTTGTAGAGCTTGGGCGCACGAAATACCTAGAAGTGTGAGCCTCGATCATGATTCTTTCCCGGAGACTATCTACATTCGGAACACATAATCGCCCTTGGTACCTTAGTGTACCATCATCCATGCCAAGATAATAAGTCATGGTCTTATGTTTACGAATCCCCTCCTTCAACTATACTAACAATGGATCGTTGTATTGCTTCTCCTTGACCTCCACTACAAGAGATGATTCAGCCGTATTTTGCACAATCACCCCACCTTCACTAGAGTCCGCAAGACGAACTCCCAAGTTAGCCAACCGATGAACCTCCTTGGCCAATGGCCTTTGATATGCTTCCAAGTGAGCCAAACTACCCATAGATTACTGGCTAAGAGCATCCGCCACAACATTAGCCTTCTCGGAATGATATAGGATATCGATGTAGTAGTCCTTGAGTAACACAAGTCATCTTCTCTACCTCAGATTCAATTCCTTCTGCTTGAAAATATGTTGAAGGCTCCTATGGTCCGTGAATATATCCACATGGACCCCATACAAATAATGACGCCGAATCTTCAATGCAGAAACCACCGCCGCGATCTCTTAGTCATGTGTTGGATAGTTCTTTTCATGATTCTTGAGTTGCCTAGAGGAATAAGCGATCACCTTGCTGTGTTGCAACAATACACACCCAAGTCTTATCCTTTAAGCATCGGAATATACCACGTACCCATCTATATCCTCTGGTAGGGTCAACACCGGTGCCGTAGTCAATCTTGATTTCAACTCTTGGAAGCTCTTTTCACAAGCATCTGACTATTGGAACTTAACCGCCTTCTGTGTCAATTAAGCCAACGGAGAGGTAAGAGTATAGAATCCCTCCACAAATTTCCTGTAATACCCAGCTAAGCCCAAGAAACTGCGAATCTCTATTGAAGTTGTAGGCCTAGGCCAATTCTTCACAGCGGCAATCTCTTGAGTATCAACCTTAATTCCTTCATTGGAGATGACATGACCTAAGAATGTGACAGATTCAAGCTGAAATTCACACTTCGAAAACTTCACATACAACTTGTGCTGATATAGAGTCTGCAGAACAGCCCTGAGATGATCGACATGGTCCTCTCGACTTCGTGAATATACAGGAATATCGTCAATGGACATTATCACAAAAGAGTCAAGAAAAGGCATGAATACTCGATTCATAAGATCTATGAAAGTTGCCGGGGCATTTGTTAGCCCAAAGACATCACCAGAAATTCAAAGTGCTCATACCGGGTCCTGAAAGTTGTTTTCGGAATATCTTGCTCCCTGATCTTCAATTGGTGATACCCGGATCTTAAATCAATTTTGGAGAATTACTTAGAACCCTGCAATTGTTCAAACAAGTCATCTAACCTTAGCAGTGGGTACTTATTCTTGATTGCGACCTTGTTGAGCTGCCGATAGTCAATACACATTCTTGGTAACCCATCTTTCTTCCTTACATAAAGGACCAGTGCGCCCTAAGGTGACACACTCGGCCGGATGAAACCCTTCTCTAACAAATCTTTCAACTACTCCTTTTGTTCCTTCAATTCTACCGGTGCCATTCTGTAGGGTGGAACAGATATAGGCTGCGTGCCTGGCATCACCTTGACTTCCTAAATCGAACTCCTTGTTTGATGGGATCCTGAGGAGCTCGTCAGGAAAGACCTCCGAAAATTCATTCACCACTGGCACAAACTCAAGTGTAGGTGCCCCAACATCGGTGTTTGTAACCCGGACCAAATGGTAAATACACCCCCTGTTGATCATCTTTGAGGCTTTAAGGTAAGAAATAAACTTACCCTTCGGCATCACATCATCCCCCTTCCATTCAATAACTGGCTCATTTGGAAATTCAATCCTAACAATTCTTGTTCGGCAATCAAGCTTAGCAAAACATGAATAAAGCCAATCCATCCCAATTATTACATCAAAATCAACCATCCCTAATTCAATGATATCGTCCATAGTGTCCCGACCATGCACCGTGACAACACAATCCCTATAAACTCGTGCGACCATAATAGAATCACCAATTGGAGTAGATACATAGAAAGACTCGTGAAGCTGTTTCGATTCTATCCTAAATTCCATAGTAACATAGGGGGCGACATATGACAAAGTGGAACTGGGACTAATAAGAGCATATACATCATGAGATTGGACAGTCAATATACCCATGACAACATCTAGAGAAGCCTCTGAACTCTGGTAACCCCTCATAGCATAGAAACGGCTGGGTCCTCCCGAACTCTGTGCACCACCCCTAGCTGCACCACGCCTTGCGGGTGCTAGAGTGCCTCAAGCTAGAGGAGGTACTGTAGGTAAAGTAGCTGCACAACTAGCTAGTTATGTCGTTCCGCTACCGACATTCTAGCGAAACGAACGGCAATCCCTCTGAATGTGACCCCTTATACCGCACCCATAGCATATGGTTTGGTCCATGAAGCAGGCCCCAAAATGCATCTTCCCACACTTGGGGCATGGGGGCCTCCACTGTTGCTCGAATCTCCCTCTAGGCCGACCCTGCTAGTAGGATCCCCTGTTGCCCTGACTGGGCTTGAAATGGCTCCACTAGTGCTGACTGGGCCATGATGGGTGTGCACTGACCGAAGGCTGAGCAAAGGACTGGGATGGCCCTGATGACCCTATCCTGAATGCTTACCTACCACCACTACCACCAGAAGAACCACCAAAGTTGCCCGCAAACTAGCCTTATTGCTACCCTCTTGCTCCATTCTATTCTTCAATTTATGGGTCTTCGTTTCTTGATCAAACGCCACCATCTCCCTATAGTTCATATTAGAATTCAAGGAAGTTGTAGCGGCATCATTAATAACCAAGGGGTTGAGGCCCTGCACAAACCGGCGCATTCTAGCCTCCATAATGGGCAACATGTAAATAGCATGCTTGGACAGGTGCGCGAATCTCATATGGTACTCCCACACACTTATGCTACCTTGTTTCGGGCATTCAAACTCGGCGGCACGGGCTTCCTTAGTCTCGGCAGACAAGAAATGATTAATGAAGGCATCGACAAAGTCACTCCACCTCATCGGAGGGCTCCCCTCCTCACGAGACTCCTCCCACATCTCAAACCAAGAATATGCCACCTCTTTCATGCGGTAGAAGGCCAACTCCACTGCCTTCGTCTCAGTAGAACGCACAACTCTGAGAGTTTTGTGCATCTCATCAATAAAGTCCTGGGGGTTTTCCTCGGGATTAGTACCCAAGAACACTGGAGGATCTAACTGAAGAAACCTGTTCACTCTGGAACTAGTAGAATCCCCTTGTTTGATGGAAGAAGTAAGTGCAACATTCGATCTCTAGGCCTGGGAAGCCACTATATGTGCCAACATATGCATGGCTCCCCTAAGGTCCCCATCAAAAACATCAGGACCAGAAGTTGGGGCTGGAGGTAAAACTGGAATATCAGTCGGGGATGGAATAACTACACCCTCAGTAGGAGTAGAGACCGGTGCAGTCAGAGTAGAAGTAGTAAAATTAGGCAGCGTAGTAGCTGGGGAATATCCTCACCCCTCGGGTGGTCACCCGCATCATCAGGTATAGAATCAACTGCCACTCTAGGGGAGGCATTGGCTCCTTGTCTAGTTCTTGCTTTCTTCCTAGGCGCCATAAACTGAAAATTAGAGCAATGCACAAGTTAGAGGAGGAACAGTCTTACAATCAGCTCTATCGCACTATCGATAACATCAAAGAAGGGTGACATTCCTAAATGCCCAAGTAGCCTCCTAATTATAGATGTGGTCGACAACAAAATGATAAGAAGGACTCTACTAGACACGACTCCGAGATATCCAAGGACACTTTCAAACCTTAGGCTCTTATACCAAGTTTGTCACTCCCGGACCTCGGGGAGTGCGACCGACACTCAACCGAGATACCCAGTCAAGTAAGACTGTACAATGCCTTCTACACGAACTTACCCGTGAATAAAGAGAAGATATATTTTGTTTATTAGACAATGAGAAGATCATGTGAACAAAACCAATTTCATTTCCTTTAGAACTTCCATGTAGAGTTCCTAAAATATTACATTACATATTTATAGTTTAGAAGAGAACATATGATACAAATACAACACCTTTAGTTTAACTTTCCCAAAATAAGTACAACCCACACTATGTCTATAGAGCTTATAATGGGTACAATATATATATATATATATATATAAAAAGAGTATTATGATGGTGCCGACAATAAGGCTCCGGGTATACCTCCAAAAACCTTTACATAGAGGGAAAAAGATACAAGACCCCGAAACAAAGTTGGGCTCACCAAGTCAGGTGAGAAAAGGGTGTACTGCTATCAATAATCAATGCCGCCTGCTGTGAAACCACCTGCATCCATTAAAGATGTAGCGCCCCCAGCAAAGGAGATGTTAGAACATGTGGAACAGTACTAGTATGAAAAACTAAACACCCTCTCAATAGAACGAGTAATAGTAAAATGAGAAGGAAACATGGAATTAATGAGAACCTCAAACAATTTTAAAGTGTCAAGTTAGGAGAAAGATAAATTTCAAGTAAGTTTCAGTATTTTTAAGTTTGGAGATCTTTATTACCGATATACCTCTGTGTTTTTAGAACAGTGTCCGATCACGGCCCGATCGGCTAAGTCGTCTTACCCCAAGACATACAATCACAACACCACCATGTACGCGGCATGGCATCCGATCTCACACCGATCAGCTAAGCCGTCTCACCACAATGTCGTGTGGGTCGACATCACTTTCTTCTAGCAATCATCTCATCCCAATTAAGGGGAAACATCGCAACACATCAATCTCATCCCATATAAGGGGAAACAATCTCATCACATCAACACGGGGATCTTACCTCTCAACCACTCCGACACAGGCTCATGTAGTTTCGGGGTTAGGCTTATTTCAACTACCCTTCCTCAGTGACTAAACGATACTCCTATAATATTTATAATACAAAGGATTTACAGTTATAGCACACGTCTTTTCATTTCTTTGGCACTAGTGCCCATAAGTGCCATTTCGTTCTTGGCACGTCAGCCGTATTTCATATTTCATACTCACCCCTATTACTTTCAAGCATCATCATGGATTATCAACAATAAGGGAATTTCTAGCCAAGACTTTAAGTGTATATAGGAGCAATAAACGTCTTAATCACATTGAGCTTCTCTTCAACAATTAGACATACTAACTTGCGATTGAAACGTGATTTTTATATCACAACACATTTGATACATTAGACATACGATTAAATTCTCAGAGAGAATAACGATATGACGGGAAAATTTTGGAATATATTTTGAATACATACATATTTCAACACAACACTTGTTGTAGAATAATA